CTTCATTAGCATGAATGTAAAACAACAAAATTGCCAAAGCTACAAACAAATTACCAAGAATAATTCATTTCATACAGTTCATTAAATAAAGTAAATAAATAATAATAATAAACGGTGTGTTTGTGTGTGTTAAAAAATAAAATAATAATGATAAAAGAAAAAAATATTTATAGATGTTAAAAATATCTAAATAAATAAAGTAAAAAAAACAGTAAAAGTGTGAATTTGTGTGTATAAAAAAATAAATAAGAATAAATAAATTAAACAGGAAACATTTGTGTGTGTATTAATAGACAAAGAAAACTAAAAAAGTCAGTGTCAAATGTGAAATTAAAAAACAAAAAACAAAGTAGAACCGCAAGCAGTTGTAAGCGGGGTCCAAGCCCCCCCCCCCCCCGGTGGTGAATAAACAACCAAAGTTTGAAATGAAAGGGATTTCCCACGGTATTTAAGCTTTGATTATAGCACCACCTATATGCCGAATTGCACCACATTTTTCAGGTTGTCATCAGGGCCCCATGGGGAACAAATGAGTGAAATTTGGTATCAATCAGACTTGTGGTTATGGAGATATAAAATGCATGTGTTACGTCCCGAGGTGTCTAGGGATATAGGGACATAAACATAAACCAGATGTTCTTGGTTCGGAAGGATATTTATTTGAAATAATGCAAGTGGAGCACAAACAGAGGATGGGCCAATGGGTGCTGTGGAAATCAACAAACAATTATAACAAAAGGAGATCCTCAAAAGGAGGATTACTGCTTACAGAGATACTAATAAAACAAAAATAAACCAAAAGCTCACTAGCCTACTGCATTTGAAAAACCCAAAACCCAAAACGCACAGCACCCCTGAACCTTGTGAAAACTAACATAAAACAACTATGGTGTGTGCAAGAAAGGTGTCAGTGATAGCTAAGCTTAGCCCTGGCCCACTCTCTTACCTTCACACAGTGAAACACACAATGTCAAGACACAAAGTCTAGCACAGGTTACAAAACACTACTATAAGCTCTAAGACAGGCGTTCCCGAGGCAAGCAACTCAGGTCAGATTGCTGCCCCTAATGGCAGACCCGGCAGGCTTTTAAGCAGGTGGTGGTCGTCACGGTCTCCATCTGATTGGCCCATAGCATGCCGCACCAATCGAGGGCATGGTAACTGGAAACCCAGGAAGTAGGCGGGACCTTCTCTCCTTGTGCAGCCAATCCTCCGCGTGGGCTTGCACAGCCTGCTCAGCATAACAGATAGCCCACTTGAAAGCACAGGCAAATACAGGTGGGGGCGGTGGCAGCCGTAACACATGCAAGTCAATGGAATTTTTTTTGATGATTTTAATCTGCAATAATAGCGCCACCTATGGGCATATTTGGGTCAGCTTTGGTTCCTGGAGCCAGAGGACCATCATTTGTGGTTATAGAGGAACACATTTTTTGTGTTAAATAGCGCCACCTAGGGGCTAGTTGCACCTCCCGTCAGGAGGTCATGGCACATAAGATACTCAAATTTGGTGTTGATCGGCTATTCCAAAACTAAGATATAACATCACTTCCTGTTTTGAGCGTTTTTCGCAAATATTTGTTAGCTTATAATTGAAACAGTTTTATGTGTAACAATCTGGGGAGCACAAGCCTGTGTCAGCTTTATCAAGAGATGGTCCGTGCCAAGTTTGGTGCCGATTGGACTTGCGGTTTCAGAGGAGTTAATTAAAATAGGTTTTTCAATTTAGCGATTTTGCAAAAAAAAAAAATGAACACTGAAATGCCTACACCAGGAGATTCAAAGTTTTTGATATGCACCTTTTTATGCGGGAGTTACAGTGATTTGAAAGTGCAAAACTTTAGACTTTCCTCGTAGCGCCCTCTAGAGGTAGAAGTAAGCAAATAGGTCTGAACCTAACCAGTGAGTTTTGTGTCTGTAGCACTTACTATCTAGGCCGCAGTATCAGTTTTAGGCCAGCTCCGCTGGTACAGGGAACCGCAATCTCTTGCAATCGCAGGTTCACAGCTCCACTCAGGCAAAACAATCAACGAAAACATTAGCTCCTCTGGTACTGGGAAACGCGATGCCTTGCATTCCAGCCACACTCGGGATTGGACCCCTAATAAAGGAACAATTACTGAAATAATTAAAATGAAAATAATAGCCTAATAATATGATAATTTTACAGTACAATTATTTAATATATTTATCAGTCTAGTCCGAGTTTCCACTGGTTGTCCTCAGTTTGTGGCATGAGGAGATATATTTTGCTGCAATGATTTGGCATTCTGGCATTTCTCCCAGTAAATACGGGAGTTTCTGTGTGTCTGATATAAATTTGAATTTGGGGTATATTTGGGAAATATTTGCCAAGTGTTTTTCTCTAAAGGTTTTATATTTTTTTCTTTCTCAACCAAAGATGGCGCTGAGTATAGCTGCCTCAGTGGTGCACTTTGTTTTGTTTTGTTATTGTGTGTTAATTCAGTTTTCGGTTGTGATTCCCGCTGCTCTTTCACCAGGGAGGACCTCATGAACATTAGGGGAACAACTCCAGCAGATTTAATTCCCACTTTTCTTGCGTCATCAGTGGAATTATTGGACATTTTGGTGAAGGGCTCTCTCGCTGTCGTTCGTGCAGTGAAGCGCCGCAGGAGAGGGAAAAGAGCCGGGTCGCTCGTGCGTCTTCACCAGCGGGAACTCCGCACAACGCTACCGACAATATTTCTCTCCAACGTGCACTCACTGTGCAACAAACTGGACGAACTTCAGCCTCTGGTGGGGAAAAACAGAAACTTCTATTCATCTTCTGTTCTGTGCTTCACGGAGACCTGACTGTCTGAACTGATACAAACTGGCTTCCAACTGTACAGAGCGGACCGCGACACAGAGCTCTCCGGCAAAACAAAAGGTGGTGTCTGTTTTAATATTAACAATGGCTGGTGTACCGACGTGACAGTGATTCAGCAGTACTGTTCTCCTAATCTGGAATTTCTTATTAACTGTAAACCGTTTTACTCCCCAAGTGAGTTTGCTTCATTCACTCTGGTCGGTGTTTACACACACCTGTCACCTGCCCAGCATGGTGCTGTTACCCAGAAACACAGCTTCTACACCTTATCTTTACAGTTTATACACACAGCCCTCAGCGGGGTTAATAGCCACATTTAAAACCTGCATGTACCGACAGTAACGTAACTCATGCATGTCAGCAACAGTTAGCCTAATATAGCTAACTTGGTAATGTTATCATATCTTACCTGCTGTACTGTCCGCTGCTTTCTCGTCACATGGATAGCATTCCTTTCACTGTTGACTTTGTGTGTGAGGCCACATGGACAGAAATGCTGTACACTTTTAGTTATGGTATTATAAATGATAGTCCTCCCTCCAGCCCTGCTCACTTCCTCTGCTTGCTTTCATGGCAGTGTGCTGGCAGTCAGAGCTCCCCCTGCAGTCCATAAAGTGCCTCTGCGCCTCAGCCCTTTAAACCCTCCCTGCAGCCTTTGGGTCATGCCTCCTCATTTGCATACACTCATAGACTCAATCCTCAATCCTCAATCCTCAATCCCCAAAACCCCAATTCTAAATCCCCAAATCCCCAGTCCCCAAATCCCCAATCCTAAATGGCTAAATTACTAAATGCCCTATCCTAAATACCAAATTCATTTTCGACTTTGACTTTTAGTTTCAGATTTTGACTTTCAGATTTCGATTTCGACTTTTAGTTTTAGACTCTGACCAAATAATCCCTCCATACAGACAGATCACAAACTATAAACCCAAAGTCCTCCACTCCATAAACGATTCTCGCCTGGCAAATGTACTGAACCAGTTCTTCTGCCGCTTTGAGAGTCAATTAGACACCATCCCCTGTGACTCCTCTGCTCAGCTTCAGCCTCAGTCCACCATTTCTTCCCCTCCCTGGCCAGCCCCTCTCAGGTGGGGATGAGTCCGCCTACAGGTGGGAGTTCGACCATCTTGTGACCTGGTGCAGCCAGAACAGTCTGGAGCTCAATGCTCTGAAGACAGTGGAGATGGTCGTGGACTTCAGAAAGAGCACAGCCCCACCCTCCCCCATCATCCTGTGTGATTCCCCAGTCACCACTGTGGACCCCTTCTGCTTCCTGGGCACCATCATCTCCCAGTGGGAGCTGAACATCACCTCCCTCACCAAGAAGGCCCAGCAGAGGATGTACTTCCTGCAGGGGCTGAAGAAGTTAAAGCTGCCAAAGACAATGATGGTGCACTTCTACACCGCCATCATTGAGTCCATCCTCACCTCCTCCATCACCATCTGGTACGCTGCTGCCACTGCCAGGGACAAGGGCAGGCTGCTCTGCAGAGAAGGTGATTGGCTGCAATCTTCCTTCTCTTCTGGACCTGTACGCCTCCAGGACTCTGAGGCGAGCAGGAAAGATTGCAGCTGACGCCTCCCATCCCGGTCACAAACTGTTTCAGACTTTCCCCTCTGGCAAGAGGCTGCGGTCCATCAGGACCAAAACCTCTCACCACAAAAACAGTTTCTTCCTGTCTGCAGCTAGCCTCATCAACAAGGCCCGGGTCCCCCACTGACACTCCCCCCTTGCAAATGATACAGATGTCTCTGCACATGTAAATACTGTTTCATCTCGTGTCGGGCTCAGACCCGGCACGTCGTACATATTTGTTGTTGATTGTTGATCTTTGTTGTTGTATATTTTTATGTTGTCAGTTTCTATATTTATATGTACACAATATTGTCTTCCGTTGCGTTACTTCTGCACGGCATAGACCCAGAATAATGCACATGTATATATCTGCAACGTTATTCTTATATATTTCTACATTTATTTATGTTGACTGTATGTTTGTCTGCGTGTTGTACCACAGCGAATTCCTCGTATGTCTTACACTACTTAGCAATAAAGCTCCTTCTGATTCTGATTCTGAAAACGGAAGTTGCTCATATTAAGGCTGTGAGTGACAGACTCAGCTAAACAAAGGAAACAAGCAGTTCCCCAAGATGACGCTCTGTGGTTTAACAACTGTGGTTATTCTGTCTACAAGTCAGATAGAACTCAACAGAAGGACTGTAGCGATGGCGGAGGAGGAGGTCAGCTACGCTTCAGTTGTATTCAAAACTAACAAGCGTTCCCCACCTGAAGGTAAGTTCAGTTTTTTTAATGCATTTATTTTTTTAATCTAGAAAGATTTCTTAAAACCCATCATGTAAATGCTCCGTATTTGTATAGCGCCTTTCTAGTCTTTTCGACCACTCAAAGCGCTTTTACACTACATCTGCATTCACCATTCACACACATTCATACACTGAGCCTAAGTGCTCAAACGGAAACTAACATTCACACTCATTCATACACTGGCGGAACAGCCGCCAGGGGCAAATCGGGGTTCAGTATCTTGCCCAAGGACACTTCGACACGCAACCAGGGGTTGCCGACCTTCCGATTAACGGCCAATATATGGATCAGATACTGTATCCTTGTTTACACATCAATCTGCCTGGGCCCCCACACGGCCCAGCTGGTTGTTCTAGGTGGCTGACCTGAATGTGATCATCATCATAATGTGACTTCTTACACTGGTATTTTCTTCAGTAAAACTGGACAGTAAATAAATTTGGAAATTGTAATGATCAGTATCTGAAATAATATTAAAGTAATATTTTATTGTCCTGTTAGTTTGTTGTGCAACGATAAAAACTTTAGAAATTGATGCCCCATTTACTATATTGGCAAAATAACTTGATGTATCCAGAGAAAGAATGAGCAGCATGACATTTTGGAAATGCTGTTTTGTTAAACTGTTTAGAATGATTATGTCTTCTGAATTAAGATATTTACTTTAAAACTGAATCCTTTTACTAACTGTAATCCAGTGGACTGTCCCTAAACTCAAATGTTGTAGTCTCCAAAACATCTATTTGTCATATATGTCATATACAAATTGAAGATATTGGATGTAAACGGATGGGTTTTAGTTTGCTTTTGTTTGATAGTGCCCATTTATGTAACCCACACTGGAGATTCCACTGACCACAGCTGTCTAAAACCAGGCAAGCGCATGTGTAATGAAGTGGTTATTTTAAAAGTGCATAATTTCCCTTTCATGATCTGCAAAATGTGAGAGTTGGTTAATTTGGGTTTTAGCTGCCCTGTGAAGGTCTACACAGAATACAGTTCTGGGAAAAACACTGAATTATTTCTCATTCTAACAGAAGATACTGGGACAATAGCAATAAATTCAAATAATCTAATAAACCTGTAAAAGCTTTTAAAATGTAAACAAAATACAGTAATTAACAACAAGATTGTGTTCTTCAACCTTTCAGCTAATAAGGAGGAGGAAACTGTGTACAGTGATGTGAAGGTGCGAAGCAAAACAACCGAAAAGACTGCTGACACAAACGGTAAGTTCATTCAGTAGAGTATATCTATTAATACTACTATTACTGCTACAAATACTACCTCAGATTTATCGTTATTACAACTATTATTCAGCCTGGGAAAACAGTAGGAGCTTTGTTAATAACTTAGAGACTGCTAATTTTAACAAAGACTTACAAACTGGGGGTGTGGAGTTCAAAAAGATGTTGCTGTTTCACAGGCAGGGAAGCTCTAGTGAAAAGATAAAATCACCTTGAACTATGGAAACTGTAGGATCCAGGGTTTGTTGGAGTTTAAGCCATAGTAGGGAATTTATATTTTGAGATTTTCTAATTTGTATTTTGACAAGTGCTTCAACTGCAACATTTATTTTACTGCCACAAAACTACAGAAAATCTGCTGTTACAACTGCCACCAATTCTTCTATTACTGCTTCTAATGCTACTTTTAGCACAATGACAAAAAGCACTTTTCTTAAAGAACAGGTTCACACATTTAAAGTCCATCATTAAACAAGGTGCCCATGTGAATACTGAAACATGTTTTGCTGCCTGTAATAATTTCCTTTGTAATGTGCTTCGACTGTAAGAGATGGGAGACAAAATGTAAAGTCTTTGTTCTGTATAGAAATGTGTTCCAAAGTTCATCTGAAGCTTTTAGCAGTCTGAGTTAGTCAAATCAAGTGGGTATCTTTACTGTCTTTTATTTACTAACTTTTTAACATAAAAAGGATTTTTTTGGTAACTTTGAAAAGTACCCTGTTCATTTGGTTCACTGCTCTAGCCATATAATTATATCTGTTGTTTATTCTCAGCAGGACTTTTGCCAGACAAGAAAACAAACAGCAGAGGTCGCTGCTATCAGCAGGTGGCTTGTTGTTTGGGGATTCTTTGTGTCATTTTGCTGTTGGGCATCATAGCAGTCTGTGTCTACGGTAAGTATACAAAACAGGTAGTCTATGCAGTACCTCAGACTCAGACATGAGGCAGAACTTGAAGAATAACAGCACCAGTTTTCCTCTGTAACATTACTAAAACCGTAACCAGAAGATCTATTAACAGGTTGTTTTACCTATAGATTTCTGCCTCTAGTCTAAATCTGTTTCAAACAAAATTCATTTCTGGACACAATGTAGACAATAGACAGTAAGTAATAAGACTGTTCTTGTTTATGTGATTTATATTTTTAACAATGTACAAACCATTTATTTTATTTGTACAGTGCAGCATCTAAGAAAGCATCAAGCCAACTAATAAAGCCGCCAGCTCTTGGGTTTGTCAGCATCATAGACAAATTTGAAAAACAAGTTGAGTTGATTGAATATATCTTTCATATACAACCAGAAGACACAACACAGCAGAGGAAGACTGGTGACAGCATTAGTGGAAATTAGACATGTATGCATAAAAGGAATTAAACAATGAGTCAAATGAATTACTGTCAACATATTCCATGATCAGCCCCAAACAAACACTGAATTGATCCTACAAACAAATACTGATACTAAAAAATCTGTAAATGCTCCATATTTGTATAGCACCTTTCTAGTCTTTTCAACCACTCAAAGCGCTTCTTACACTACTGCATTCACCATTCATTCACTGGCAGGGGCAGATCAGGGTTCAGTGTCTTGCCCAAGGGAGCCAGGGTTGCCGCCGACCTTCCAATTAACGGCCAACCCGCTCTACCTCCTGAGCCACAGCTGCCTGTGTATCAAAGCCTGAAAGATCTTATCCAGCTGTGCCATAGAGCCCCACATAGAGACCAAACTATTAAAAAACACTTCAGCGAGTCACAGTGTTGCACTGGGTGACATGTTCCTTCACAACAATGAACACAGCCACTGTCCCACAAACACAGACCATAAAGGCCTGCTAGTGCACAGCTGAAAAAAATTAGAGCTTAGCTGTTTTAGGCAGTGTCAAATAATTATAGGTTCAGTAGGAACCAAAGGGCTTAGGAAGTCCGGAAACACTTTCTATGAAGGTCATCGCTATAATGACTTATGCATATATTTATAACACGATATAATGCGTCCATAAGACATTAAAACAGTTGTTATAATCACTTACAAACATGCATTAGGTGCTACAGCAAAGTTCATAATGTATTATGACCTTTTGTTTTAATGTTTTATAACTAATAGTAATACCAGTTTATATCAATGTGCGGCAAGAATCTCCGACCATGTTCCATAACACATTATAACCACAGACTCTGCCTCGTTATGAATACACTTTAGTCACCATTTACAATTAGTGATATAGAATAGAATAATAGCTTATAGTAATGTTTAAAGTTATATAGCACGTCTTTGTTTGCTTTAAGTAAAGTGTTAAAATATCTATCCCTGTATAATATATTACAGATGAACATATGAACTAATTATAAGACCTTATAACACGTAATTGTTTGCTTTAAGTAAAGTGACACACATTTTGTGCAGGAAAACAACTTTTATTTATTTTGTTTCTTCGCTTTTTCGAACAATCTGTATGAATTTTGAACATTTTGCAGTTTAGCACAAAAACACAAACAAAATTACATCAAGAAAACTCGTTGTCAGGGTGGTGAAAGATCGCTCAAGAGAAGACCTGTTGCCGACCAACATCATGTAAGAAGAGGCTCAGATGTTGTCACAGATGAATGGCGAGCCTATGGACAGGCCCTAACAGATGTCAGATGTCATTATAGTGATGACCTTCATAGAAAGTGTTACCAGAAGTCCTACAGCTCCCACAAGTCTAAATAACCTGAAGTAACACAAAGCTTCCAAAAATGGCTGTGACAAAGTGACAAAGACAAAATTGCATCATTATTATCACTCAAGAAGCTTATTTCCTATTTGCAGTTGTTACATTAAATCATCAAAGTGAACCGAACCAGCTGAAAGAAAACCAAACGATTCTACTGGCTCTCAATGGAAACCTGACAAACCAGAACAACAAACTCAGCTCAGAAAATGAAAAGCTGAGGAGGGAACACAACAATCTGAGAGTCCAGTTGGAGAACCTGACACAAGCCTATACTGTCTTAAAAAGCAACATCACAAACCTGTCTGCAGAAAACCAGAACCTGACATCACAAAACACCAAGCTGTCTGCAGAAAACCAGAACCTGACATCACAAAACACCAAGCTGTCTGCAGAAAACCAGAACCTGACATCACAAAAAATGAAGCTGGAGACACAGAGGAACAACTTAACAGAACAGATACGGAACATGGAGACAAAGTGGAATGAGCTCAACGTCAGTCGAGCTCAGTGGAGCATTGATGCCTACTGCCCAAAACCAAAGAACCAAAGTATGTTCAGATCCCATTAATAAGGTTAAAAATAACATAAAACAATAACATAATGCAGTAATGTTGTTTATCGGTTTGTCTCTGTTGTTTCAGACAGACAGTGTAAAGCTTGTCAGGATGGCTGGTTACCCTCCCAGTCCAGCTGCTATGCGATTAATGACCCTGATGTTTCTGGTCAGAAAACCTGGGAAGAAGCTCGAGAAAACTGCACAGGAAAGATTTCAGATTTGGTTGTTATAGCTGATCAAACGGAAAAGGTAATGAGAAAAGTTTCATTTTTATGAAATAAAAATATATTCTCTGTAGGTCTGAACACACTGAGTCTGTAGGCCACAGTGTGTTAATTTAAGTATAGTGTTTAAATATCTGATAACTGTCTCTCTGTTGTCAGACATTCATCAGTAATAACAGTTGGGGCAGTTCAGGAACCAAGGGATACTGGATTGGTCTGAGAGCTGAAGATGGGAAATGGAAGTGGGTCGATGGAAGTGTTCTGACTGAAAAGTAAGAGACACATTCATAAACATTTTGAAGCATAAAATCTATCAGCCTGCATCTAAACATCATGTTCTTCCCTCAGCTCCTGGATACAACAACCTGCTACCAACGGTCAGTGTGTAATTTCTGTAGAGACAGAAGGATGGAAATCAGTGAGCTGTGGTGCCAGAAACAGATGGATCTGCAAAAAGAAGGCTTTATCTCTTTAAACACTGCAGTCAAGGTTACTGGGGACTCTGTAAAGATTCATTACATGTAAAATAATATCTACTGATATACTTCACAAAAAAGTGAAACATTTTTCATGTGTGTGCAAAAAAAACAGATCCTCTAATATAAGTGTGTTCAGGTTGTTTGGGTATTCTGCCTCCTTGTCTCATCCAGTACAGTCCCAAACTGTCCTGTGTCTGTCTAACGGGGACGCTACCACATCAACAAAGCAAAAATGTATGCCAGTGCACCGCAGAGTACAGGATAGGTAGATTTCTGTTAAAATATGACTCATTAGATTGTGATTATTAGAACAATTTCTTTTAAATTTTTTAACTTTATTTTTAAAATGCCAGAGGAAAGATAGGTAGGAGAGATTTTGAATGTGCAGAAAGTTTTGAACATGAACAGAAAACCTGCTGAAACACAGGAACTAATAAAGTTCAGGTGTTTATAAATGAATTTAATTAATTAATGTATCGTTGAGATGAAAACGTGCCACATGCTAATTTTTTTAGAGATTACTTCCCCAAACAAAAGACAGAAAAGAGGAAGGAAGACTAATTTAAAGCTCTCGCCCTGCTATATCTCCTTTTAGTCCCATACACACCAGCACGTACCTTGAGATCCTCGGGCAGAGGTCTGCAGTCTGTTCCACAGTCTCAACTGAAAACTAAAGGGGACAGAGCGTTTGGAGTCAGGGCCCCGAGGCTCTGGAACAGCCTGCCCAAGGAAATCAGGTCTGCAGTGAACTCTTAAGTCCCTTCTTAAAACATACTTTTAAAGGAGAGCCTTTCATGATTTTATTTGACTTTATTTTATATATTTTTTATATTCATTTTAAACATGTATTTTACTCTGTGTTTTATTGCTTTTATCATGTGTTTTATGGATTTTATTGTCTTTGCACGTGTTACAGCGCTTTGTTACTTGTTTTTTAAAAAGGGCTTGATAAATAAAGATTATTATTATTATTATTATTGTTCCTAGATGTATTAAATGTTCTTATCAATAATTGTGTTCTACCCTGTCATTGTGATTTGGATGTGTCAAATTTCCATCTTATCTCAGACAAAACATAGGCCCCTATGCCTGACAATGACTGAATGTGTTCTTTCTGATCAACATCTGAGCTCGGAACATCATATTACTACCATTTTCTGTCTTATTTTTAGCAGTTGTACTGAATATGGGTTTGAAAATGAATTTTAACACACACTTTAACCGCATTCTGTTTCTAGGAGGCCTTTAGTGATCTTTGTATTTAAGAAACCTAATACACACAATAGATTTTCTCCTGAATTTCTCTCGGGTAAAATGTACTTAGTAGCACAATACCAAACTGTACGGTATAGTGGAAACTGCTTATTGATGTTTCTTCATAATTCATGATTGCTGAGACATTGAACCCTACCGTTGCATTCAGTCTGATCTAGGACTTGCATCTGTCCCTTACTCTCATATATCCAAACGTGATAGTGGGTTTTTTGGCTGGAGCCTGCGCAGTTACTCCCATAATATATTAGATCTAAACCTGTTAACTGTTTTGAGTGGCTCTTGACGTCATATTTAAAGGATGGCCTTTGTTCTAAAACTATCCCTACCCCTAACCTACTCTTTGTTCACCATTGCAGGATTTTTCCTGCATAGTGAGATTTTTGGCGGCTCCAAAGACATTTTAGTGAGTGCCAATGAAAAATCTCATGCTAAGAATTGAAAAAAAAATTGCATTTTAAATCCTCTCAGAATGTGTTGTCATAGCAATTTATCAAACAAATGTTGAGCAAGCAGAACATAAACTTAAATAGTACGTCTTTGCCTTTAGCAGTCACCTCTCCTCCGTCTGCAGCCGCTTTATTTTATACATGCAGCTGGCGCTGGATTTATTTTTTGATTTGATTTTCTCATGAATGTGCTGTTTGCTTCTGCATAATTAAAACACAAAGACAAGGAGGGACTTGCAGATATTTATGGTGTTTACAGAAGCCAATAGCTTAATGTGCGTTACACCCCCCCACCCTGTCATGTAGACTCTGTTCACTGAGTGAACATACAGCCGGACTGGGACCCAATACAGCCTCCGAGACCGTCAGAGGGCAGTTTAACGACAGGAAATGAAGGACAGAGGTGGTTTTCTCTCCGGGTTTGGTTCTTGGCATCATGGGGTTCACTCAGCTAGCACAGCTAGCTGCCCGGCTAACTGAACTAACTAATTACAGATATAGTTAGTAACGTTAGCTGCGGTTTATCAAAAAGTAAATGTATCTGTTCTTGAAGAAACTGTAAATCACCTCGGTACTGTTAGTCCCTGTTGGTGTCTCTGTTCGGTCCGGTTCATGCCATGTTCACTGAATGCATGTAGGGGAAACACTGGTAGTGATAAGCTATTAGACTATACCATGATCTTAAATTATCATAAATGCACTAACATTAACCCTAATCAGAGCTTAGCCACAGGGGTGTAAGATCACAAAACACTTTTTTTTGTGAAACAGTTGAATTTTAAATTATAAGCTGTTTGAATGTTACAAATACTGTATAAACTATAGATCAGGTAGATAATAGCCAGAAATAACAGGAAAATGCATAGATTTTCATCATATGGTAACTCATTACATTTAATGTATGTGTCCCGACAGCGGCGCCGCCAGAAACGTTGGGCCCCATGACAAAAAATCTAATTGGGCCCCCTCTGCGCAGCTGTTATCACCACATCTCTACTGTCCCATCAAAAGCTTTACATCACTCTAATTAAAGGTTTGCAATGTCTTGTTTCTTGTAGTTCAATATTAGTACTAGCACAATATTTACTGCTGGTGATTTGTACATGCAAGTCTGCATACAGGATGCAGTTCACTATTTGATGCAAGATTAAAAGCCACCATAAAAATGTCCTTATGACAATCTTTTACAGTCTCAATGTATTTTTATAGTAAAATTAACGGCCATAATTCAATCTAAATGAACGTATCAAACTGGATTATTTTAATATAGTCAGTAACTTGCATGCAGGCTGAGGTAAGCTGCTGTCCAGCATCCAGTACAGACAGGAAGGTGTTTTTATTTGATTTCATAATGGTCATTATGTGAGAAAATAATTTGTGTTTGAATTTCTGTCATTAATAAACATTTTATCTTCTTTTTTGTTGTGATAAAAAGAGACAGAGAGACAGAGAAATCCCCACAGACTCCCTGGCATTAACACAATGTTGCTCCCCTTCTTCACTGGGACAGGGAGGCTACAGTTATGGGGAGACTGGGCTGCTGCTGACTCATCTGTTGTTAGTCTGCTGAAAGGGGCAGGGACAATGATTTAATATGACGTTTCCCTGCACTGATTAAATGTTGATGAAATGTAGGCTAACAGCAGTTTGCAGCTAGCTAGCTTATTTCACTGTGGACATTAAGCCAACAGGTTAACACCTCTCACAGACTAAAGACATCCTTTCCGTTGAAAACCAGATTTTGGTTTACTATGCAACATTGTGATCACTGTATTTCTGGCGCATCTACTGACTGCAACACTGTCACTGATACAGTGCACTAAGGCAGGACCAAACCATTTCATGCAGATACAGGGGGGTGGTCGGCCAATATGGATGTTTACTTTTTGGTCAATGGGGATATTTAACTCCTATTGCCAAAAATAATGAGTTCACTAATTGTATTATTATATTTAAAATACTCAATGATGATGGTTTATATAAATATAATTTGATATTAGTTTTTACCTATTTTTGGGGGCCCATGTTGGTCAGGGGCCCTTGGAATTGTCCTAACTTTTCCCCCATATATGGCGCCCCTGTGTACCGATCATGCTTACACTCGTGCGTGGTCACCCCTGAAGACCCATTCTGAGCCAGGAAAAAGCCTGCATTGTATGATTTTCTTTTCTGTTTTAACCTCTATTAATGTTTCGTTTGTTGTTGTTCTGGCTGCAGAGAGGATGATGCTGGTCAACAGTGAACACCTGAATGACAACTTGTGAGCCGTCAAGCAGAAATGATGACAACACCTGTTCAAAGTTCCAGTTTCCTATACTTTGTGCCATGTCTGTATGAGACTCCCACCTGTCTTCAGTCATGTCTGGACCCAGTGGACTGTCTGGACGGCTGTTGTATAATTAAGGTGCACCGTACAAGCCAACAGCTTCATACATAGAAGAAACCAGCACTCAGGAATATTGTTTTGCAGATCACTTTTATTATTAGTATCAGGGCAACAATTAGAAAATATTAACAATAATAATATTTCAGCACTAAGCTATCATCAGCATTTGTTTAAAGAGGTCATATTATGCATGTTTACATGGTTTCAAAAAACACCATATACATCATTGCTGCAGCTCCTCTTTTCGTTTTAGCTATAGAGTGATACATCTTGTCTCTAAATAATCTTTGTTGGGAGTTGTACATGCGTAGTTCCTAGTTAAGGACTACTAGCCACTCAGAAGCAGAGTAGGGCGGGTCATGTAATGCTGGTGTTCACGGCTTTGGTTCAACTGTAAATCCCCTTATCAGCTTAGAAACATGGACACTCACGGACTAAGTAAAGCAGTATGAACACAAAGTGCAAATGTTGGTTTCGGTTGTTTGATAGGTTATGTCATTAATAAGCCGGCATATAGCGCACCTGCTGCCGTGATAACGGATCACAGGTGGAAGAATACGGAAAAAAGAGGAGTTCTGTGTCTTTTGGGCAAGTTTTAAAACATACTGCTGATGGAGAAAGTGATAATTCATTGAATTTATTCAAAAAAAAAAAATCTATTTTGGGAAAGTATTGTTATTAGGGCATGAAATATGAGATTTTTTTCATATTGCGCAGTCCTAATTCCTAATCATGTCTACTTTATCATTGTAAAGTTTTACATGTAATCTCTAGTAATCTTACAGTAAGCGCTCAATACAAAACCCACAGTTCAACCAGCAATTAATGAGTCTTTAACTCAGTTCAAATCTCCTAGCAGTCCATCTTTCTGTATCCCAGTAAGCAAACAAAAAATACTCAGTTTGAGGTTCAGTTCAAAAGTTGGCCAACGAAAATAAAACCAAGTGATGCCCCTCGTGTTTAATAGACAAGCTCAGTAATTCACTAAAGTTTCTGTAGTGTCAGCTTCTGTCAAGGTTAAGGCCATTGTACAAAAACAAGTCAAGGTACAGCATAACGTGTGAAGTTGATGCTTCGTCTGCAGACTGATTTACTCTTGGGTGTCATGTGACCAGAGTGTAATTGCAGCCTTAGCGATTAGAAAATCTTGTTTTATCACATCGGGATAATATCACAAATGCAATTAATCGTTCAGCCCTAATCTCTATTTAGGTGCTTTAGGTACCAGGTTAGCTCACCTGGTAGAGCATGTGCACCATGTAGAAGGCTGAAGTCAGCAAAGGGCAGCAGCCTGCTTCAGTTTCAGCCAGCTTCCCTTTGCTGCAGTCATCCTCTTTCTCCCACATTTCACAGCTCTCTGTGATTGTCGCCCTACAGGCATCGTGATCGTCAAACTAACTTAATGCAACACAGATAAACTGATCATACATCATTACCTACCTCTGTCTTTTTCGCGTTTTTCTTCCTCTTCTCTTCTTTTTTTTCTTCCCTGGGCACCAGATGGCTTGGGTCTTTTTGACATAATGACAACTTATCAGTGTCAGTGAATTCGGCCATCGGTCACTCACAATCACATACAGGTAACGGGGTTTTTTTTCAGC